CGTGTTTCTGGGGTGTGTGTGTGTGTGTGTGTGTGTCTGTCTGTCTGTATTTGTGCTGAGATTTGTGTATCCTTTTTGTAGTAAGATTTTGTTGCTAGTATGGAGATCTCATTATTTTGTGTTTACTTTTAAATGATGTACTCTGGGTGTTGCTGACTATAGGCCTTTGCCTGTTGTCCAGTATCTTACCACCTCCCTTAACTTGAGAGGAGAGGATGCATTTTAATTGAGCCAGCATTCAATTTTCTGGGAATGGACCCCAGTATTATTAATGACACAAAGCCATCAGGATACTGACATACAGAGAAAATCTATTAATAGCAACATTTGTATCACTGGCAACAGTACCTCATCAGCAACAGTAATGGTGTCAAAGACAATTTGGTTCTGACATACCATAAGAGCCAATAATACACTACACTTAACCATAGAAAAGAGATCCATAATTATTGTATAAACACTATGACATACCAAATACTAATACAGGAAATAGCTACTGAATGGAACAACTACACCTCCACTAATAATCAACAGTAGTACTCTAGAGTTATCTAACTATCTAAAGATTAATAAAACTTAATGGTTATACTATTAAAGATAGAGGGGTAGGGAATGGGAGAACGCAAGAAGAAAAAATTTAAAAATTAAGCAATGGAAGATGAGAAGTAGAGAAAGGTGATATAAAATATCCTTTTAAAGGAGTACAGTAAATTTAACAATTGGATAAAAGTAACAGAAAACAACAAACAAGAACATGAAGTAAAAATTTAAAAAGAACAAAAATACAAAAAAATTCAAAGGAAAATAGAAAGAAGAGAAAAATAGCATGAAAAATAATAAAACTGAAACCCCAAATAAGTCTTGGAAAAGAAAAAAAGAAATGATCCAGAAAAAAATTATTTTCCCTCTATATATTTGAATGAGTGGTTTCTTTGCAGGATGCATAGTTTGGGAATCTAGCAAGTCATAGCTTTCTTCTACCTTGATGGCTTATGGCTTTGTAAGGTGCCCCCCACCTGGCTCAAATTTCCTTTCTGTTCATTTACCCAGCCGGCAGCATATAAGCAAAGTATGTCTTTGCTCATGTTGCTAGATGTGGAAAACAATCATATCTTTCCTTCTCATCTGGATGTAGGCAGCAGGTCAGGAGTTTAAGTAAAATGCTGTTTATAATGCCAACGATTTAGATACAGGCACCTTTGAAAGCCACACACGATGGGCCTGTATTTACACAGAAATCAGGGCTCTTTCCCTTCCCAGTCTGATCTTAAACTTCCCAGGGGGTGTAGATCTAGTCCACTCTCTGTCCACCATTGTCCCCCTTGGCTGTCTCTCACCAGTTACTATGGGAGGGTAATACTGAGAACCCTGAAATGAAGTTGTTTTTAGTTGTTCTGAGGCTCAGTCTTAAGTAATCTCTCCCTTTTTGAAATGGCACCTTTTAAAAGGTTCCATTCTAGTTATATGGGAGGTGCAACACAAGATTCCTTTTTCAATTGTTGCCTGCTACATGGAAAGAATCATTTTACATGGAAAGGGATTCTTTCCATGTAAAAACCCTATGCTATTTTTGTATTTGAAAATAGCCAGTGACTTTTCTTGGTATTAGCATTGCTGCTCCATTCTACTCTTTCTCCCTGGAGCTCTAACTCTGTCGGCTCCCTTGTATCTACCTAGATAGCTTTACCTATTTGGGTGTCAAGGTGAGCTTCTGAACTCCTCTATCCTCTATTCTGGGTTTTGCTTCTTCTACAGAATGAGTTGCACTCTTCTACATGCCAATATCCAGAGTTCTCAGCACCATCTAAATTGCTGAATAATATTTCCATTTTATGGTCATAGCTTGATGTGTGCACCCATTCCCAAATTTAAAACTCATTTGAGTCACTTCCTATTTTCACAATGCTGAGTAGAAATATAGTGGTACCTTAGTTCATGAATGCTTTTGTTTGTGAACAGTTTGGTTCACAAACAGAAGCGTTTGGCAAAATTTTGTTTATGTTTGCACACTCTGCATCAGGTAATGACCATGACAATGTCCATCTTTCCTGCATGAACACAAATGTGGCCATCTTTTTCAGAAGTATGGAATGAATTAAGTTCGTGACCTGAGGTACCACTGCACACAAAACATTCATGTGCAGGTTTTATGTGAATAAAATTTTTATTTTAATACATATATTTATTTGATTGTTTTAGTTTAGTTTTATATTGTATTTTTATTTCTCTTGAGTAAATACGTAAAGAGATTACATGGTCATATAGTAAGTGTCTATTTAATTTAACGAGAAACTTCCATACGCTGTCCAGGTGGCTGTACCCTTTTGTACACCTGCCAGCCATGTATGAGAGATACATTGCTCTGTGTCCTCCCTAGTTCCTGGTATTGTTTGTATGTTTTATTTAGCTATTCTAAACATAGTGGAATTTTATTATGGTATAATTTTATTTCAATTATAATAATGATACTAAACATCTCTTTATGTTAATTTGGAGTATTTGTTCAGATCTTTTGATTATTTGTAAATATACAGTTATCACATATGTAAGTTGCAATTTTTTTCTCTAGCTTGTAGCTTCTCTTTCATTTTCTTGACATACCTTTTAAAGACCAGGTGTGTGTGTATGTGTGTGTGTGTGTGTGTATGTGTGTATGTGTGTGTGTGTGTGTGTTTGGGATTGAACCCAGGACCTTCAACCCAGGACTCAACCCAGGGGACTGAGTTGCAGTCCTACCCCCTATTTATTTTTTTATTTTGAGACAAATTCTCACTAAGTTGCTAAGTTGCCCTAGCTGGACTTGAACTTGAGATTCTCCTACCTTAGCTTCCCATACTGCTGGGATTATAAACATATGCCACTGTACCTGGATAAGATTTTTATTTTCATGGATGCCCAGTGCATCAATTTTTTTTCTTCTATATGTGATACTTTTGAAGTCATACCTAAGAAATCCATGTTTAACCCAGAATCAGAGAGAGTTTTACTCTATTTTATTTGGGAAATTATACAGTTTTGAATTTTACATGTAAATCTATGATCCTTTTGGAGTTAATCTTTGCTTACATTATGAGAATGGATTTTCTATGCCTTTATCCTACTTTATCTGGTACCCTTTGTTGAAAAGTGTGCTTTTTCCTCATGAAATTGCTTTTTCACTTTTTCCAGAAAAATTCAGTTGATAATATACAACCAATTCTGTTAAAATGTGATATATTTTAACTTAGCCATTGCACTATGCAAAAATTACAATATAGAAAGTAGGATTTCTAGGGAAAATGGAGTTAAAGGTGTAAAACTCAAAAACTTTAATGTGTGATACACTAAAAAAGGCACCAGGGCTGGGGATTTAGCTCAGTGGTTCTGCCGCCTGCCTTGCAAGCGTAAGGACCCAAGTTTGATCCCCGGTACAAAAAAAAAAGGCACCAAGTTAGTAAAAAAAAAAAACATTTTTTTACATTTTCTAAATGATTAAGAAATACATAAAGACTATAATAAATATTACCTTACCTTAAAAAGACCAGAATTTTGCTTGTAGATGTGTGTCAGAAAGGTTTTCATTTGTAAATTATAATGATGTGGGTGAAGATAGATTATCTTAAATTGGAAGGAAAGCTGTGACACTAATGGTGGGTAGGAGTGCTGGTTTATAACAAACATGATGAAGTGAGATAGCTGGTAGATTTTTTGAAGTATGTGCATGTGTGTTTTTTATATATTTATACATTGCTAAGCTCAGTCAGGTGTTGTGTTCTGTGATTTTCCATTGTTTCTTGCAGACAAAAATGTGAAATTCATGTTGTGCTCAGATAACTTCCTAATATATCAGTTACACTGGAACCAATTTGCATTTTTAAAACAAGTGTTATAGCAGAAATGACTATGTATTATTGTATAGTCTTCTGTTCCATACACACATAGCTATCCTTCATCAAGTATTTGTCTTGATTACTGTTGCTTTTAATTCTTAAAGTCAGGTAGTATAAATCCTTCACTTTTTTCCTTCTTTTTCAAAATTGGTTTGGCTATTCAATTTCCTTTGTATATTTTATGTAAATTTGGCAATCTTCTTGGTGATTTCACCAGTGGATTTCCATTGAAGTTTCATTAAATCTGTACATCAGTTTTGGGAGAAATGATATCTTAGCAATACTGAACCTTCCAAAACGTGAGCATAGTGTATCTCTATGTTTATTTAGGACTATGTTTATTTCTTCCTTCAGTGTTTCTGACTTTTGGCATATAAATCCTATGTATACTTTGTATATTTATGACTGTGGGAGTCTTGGTATATTTGGTGGTATTATAAATAGTATTTTAGAATTTTAAGTTTCTAGTTTTTCATTATAATTCATAAAAGTTCAATTTATTTTATATCGATATCTTTAGCTCTTTGACATCTTTAAACAAAAGTATAAGCTTACCAAAACAAAATTTGTTGTTTATGTTTTTGTTTATGTGTTATTGTTTGGTATTGAACCACCCAGAGTCGTGCACTTACTAGGCAAGTGCTCTACTACTGAGCTACAACCCCAGCCCTTTCTGAAAAATTTGTGTTTTTGAGACATGGTCTCCCTAAGATATCCAGGCTAGTTTTAAACATTCAATCCTCCTGTCTCAGTCTCCTGAGTAGTTGTGCTTACAGGTGTGCACAGCACATCTAGCAGAATACTATATTGTAAAAACTGAATTACTAGCTCTCTTTTGTCATATTCTATTTTAAAACTTAGCACAGTGTGAAACTTTGACTTAATTATTATTCCTTCAAACTTGTTGGATAATATATTAATACAGACCTGAAAGCATGTATTTTGCGAGTGAAATTTGCGAGCAGTCTTTAAATCCTCTGAAAGAGTATTAATGTGAAATAGATGTCACAGCTTTAAGAGTAATTAGAGGTAATCCATAAGTTGTTTTAATGTCTAACACATTATTTTATTTCTTTTGATATTTTCTGTTTCCTGAAGTTTTTCAGTATATGTTTTTTAATGCTGTTATAGATTTTGGACTCAGCAAGGAGTCAGTAGATCAAGAAAAGAAGGCCTACTCATTTTGTGGTACAGTAGAGTATATGGCTCCTGAAGTAGTAAATAGGAGAGGTCATTCTCAGAGTGCTGATTGGTGGTCATATGGTGTACTTATGGTAAGTAGTAGTGTTTTTCTTAATTATGCTAACATATATTACTATGATTCAAATTTTTTAGTTCAAATTTTGGAATTATCAGGTAAGAAAGGCCTTCTTAAAATATTAAAATTTTTAAACTTTGGCTAGATGATATATAATAAGAATTTGGATTTTAGTGTTTTAAGTTTGTAAAGTTGCTACTGAAAAAGTAAATGGGATCATCATTATATAAACAATTTATACTTGAAACTTAGAATGTCTGGTAGATTCTAGCTTTCAGAATGCTGAGTTTAGCAGTTACAAATTTTATTTAGATGTCATAAAATGTATCACCTTAGCATAGTATCTTATTGTCAAATTCTTTCAGGCATGGCCTAGAAAGATTGTAATCCTTCTGAAGACAGAAATTATGTATTATATTACCTTTTATCTCCTACAGTCACTATCATAGTGATCGTTTAACAGATGATTATTAAATATAGACTGACTAGGATGAGATTAAGTGTAGAATTTATAGTAGTTCATAGGATGATGGAAAATATCTGTTGAATCAGATATAGTTTGTTTTGAAATCTGATAATATATTTGGTCTACTTATCATTGAATGACACACTGCATGACACACCTATTTATTAAGTGCCTATTAAAATATGGGAATTTCTGTAAGGCAGTAGGGCAGAAACTCATGTAAAGTACATTTGACATTTTCTCTGACCTAAAAACATGTACAGTCTGGTTGAGGAAATGATTGTAATAGCTAAATAAACTGTTCTGAAGTACCTAAGGTGTTGAGAGAAGATTTCATGAAATTATATAGGGAAAGTAGAGGAGGTGGAACTTAAGTTCTGAAAGACATATAACATTTAAATACAGATTCTCCCAAAAAATTTATAGACACTGCAGGAAAAGAAAAGCTTGTATAAATATTTCAATAATAATTTTTTTGAGACTTCATGAGATTAATGCAAGTTACCTTTGGCTTCTACAATTACAAGAGGTGCTCAAAGTGGTGGCCATTAGCTTCCAGACATTTATTAGTACAGTAAACTGCTGCTTAGGTAAACTTGGTAATTGAGATTGCTGCGCATGCATTTTCAATTTCTTCTCTAAGGGCTGGCAGTGTAGTGGGCTTTCTGTGATATATGACATCCTCTAGGGTCCCTCATACAAGGGTAATACTATCTGTTGAAAAAAATCATGTTTTTCTTTTCCAGAAGTAAGTGTGTGTGTGTGTATTCCGTAGTTGCATATGGAGGAGAATATTGTGATCATATATTAGCAAAGGCTTGAAGAACCAGTTTATCTTGAATAGTGAAGGATGAGATTGAAGGTGGAGAAGTTGAAGCTGTAAACCTATAAATATTTGCATATGATTTTTCTCTTACCATTACAAATTCTTAAATAGGATGATGATTTGAATAAAAGTACATTTTAGAAAGATTAGAGTTGACAGCATTATATAAATAGATGGAAATGGAAGAAACTAGAAATAGGGAGAACAAAAGATCTCTTTATGAGATAGTTGTATCATTATAAAATTTTATTTAGAAAAGAAACCTTAAAGACATTTCAAAGGAAGATATGACTAATCTTAGTTGCAGATTAGACACACATGAAATCAAACAGATGAGTTGATGATAAAAGTACCTTTAAAATTTATGAACTTTAGCAGCTTGAAAGAGTTATAGATAAGTAAAAATGAGCTAACTAATGATAGCTGGTGGGGGAAGAATTTTATTTTTAACACAACGTAGGTTGCTATAGGTTGGTGGCTAGGCCCTTTGTGCTGATAAATTAGATGGAGCTGTAGAGAAAAAATCAGAATCATTTAAGAATTTATTTAATTTATATCTATACATATTTGTCTCTTGTCTATCCATCCCACACTCAGTTATTCAACTTGATTTTTTAGGGGAAGACAGAGTCCCAAATATTGTCATTCTCTTCATTATCTGCCACTCTCAACTCTACAAATCCAGGCCCCAGTGATGAATAATTGTCTATTTGGGAGGAAAAAATGTATTTTGGAAAAGATAAGGCTGATGTAGCAGATTTGGAGTCATTGGGATACCCGAGATAAGCTGAGCTTCTAAGTGCAGCGATATAAGGACAAAACCATTGTTAGGTCCAAGTTGAAATTTAAATATTAGGAATATAAAAATGTTTACTTACTATAGTCAATGTTCATTTTTAGACCTAATTTTTGCATCATTATTTAGTCATCTAGTTCTCAATTTAATCTCTTTGGGAAAATACTTTTCTTGCCCTTTGTGCAAATATTTTTCTTTTTAAAGCTATTAGTACACTCAGGTGCATTTGTATGTGTGTGCATGTAATTATATGATCTGCTCTTCCTCTTTGTTTTGCTTTCTGTACATTGAAAGAGTAAAGGTCAATTAGAATGGCTAAATCTTTCTTGGGCATATATGAATTGGAAGTCCTTTCTTTGGATATTTTCCCTTACTTATTGTTATTAAAAATTGATTTAAAAATATCTCTGCTTTAAAAGAAAATGCTTTGTATCTTCAAATTCTTTGACTTTGTGGACTTAGCCAAATTAGAATTGAAAAAAATTGGTTGATTTTATCTGCTACAGGTCACCTGTCAGTTAGTTGAGGTATATATATAGAGAGGAGACTATTTATTAAATGTGCATTTCCTTAAGTGACTTAGTTTTCTCATCTCAGTTTAACCTGTTGTTATCTAAATCCTGCAGGATTTGATAATCATGTAGTATTCATATCAGTTTTTTTCTAGATAATTTCATTATACATTTTATACATTATACATTTTTCATTATACATTTTAAGTTGTGTTTAATTGACTGTGATTATTTTTTGTTTTGCTTTTAGTTTGAAATGCTTACTGGTACTCTGCCATTTCAAGGTAAAGACAGAAATGAGACCATGAATATGATATTAAAGTAAGTGTAAACATTATATTTTCATTTTGGGAAAAAATTTCTTCCATGTGTTTTGAGAAACTTACTGTTGTTTTAAATTGAGACAAAGGATAGGGCCGGGGGATTTAGCTCAGTAGTTCTGCTGCCTGCCTCTCAAGCGCAAAGTCCTGAGTTCAATCTTCGGTACCAAAACAAATAAACAAAAAAATTGAGACAAAGGAACATTTTTTTACTGTATTGTTCCCTTCTTCCGATATAGCAGTGGGCATTATTTGCCACTGTAAAGCACTTTTAAATATTCACTTTGAGATTTGTAACTAAAAAGTGTAGCCAGATTTAAGTGAAACTTTCTAAAATCATCTTTTTCAGAGCAAAACTTGGAATGCCTCAATTTCTTAGTGGTGAAGCACAAAGTCTTCTGAGGATGTTATTCAAAAGGAATCCAGCAAATAGATTGGGTATTTTTAAAGTTTCCTTGGTTCTTATAATGGTACTGAATATTTTGGGAAGATAACTTTTTCAATTTAAGTTCATTTACTGTTGCTATACATTTATACTTAGAATTATGCATTTTGTGTATGCAGTTCAAGAATAGTCAACTCTGTTATGAACTTGATTTTTTAAATGGAGAAATCTAGCCAGACATGAGGGTGTTCACTTGTAATCCCAGCACTTTGGGAGGCTGAGGTAAAAGGATCACAAGTTTGAGTCAAGCCTGGGCATCAAAATAAAAATTTAAAAAAGGTTAAAGATGTACAAGGGGTGATCAAAATATGCAGTAAGTGTTTAAATTTTAAAATATTTTATTACAGTAAAAGATACATTGCCATTAATCCCCCTCAAAATACCCCGCCATGTGCTTTAAACACACTTATCCCATCATTCTTTCCAGTTTATGAAGCAGTTCTGGAAGTCCTCTTTCCTCTTTTTTTTATATTTATTGAGTTTATTGGTACATTTTAGGTATATCTTGGGATCACATTCATCATTGGGAACTTGTACTTGTACACGATATATCTTGGTTCTTATTTTTTTCCCATTCCCCTGCCCTCCCTTCAACTCTTCCACTCCTCCCTATATACATAAGCTTTGTTTCCACTTTTTCCTTCTTTTCTTCATTTTTTTCTTTCCCTTCTTTCCTTTCTCCCACCCTCCTTCCTAGTTTGCCTTCGCCTTTGAACATTTTCTTCCAGTTAATGCTGTTGCAGAATGACATCCAACAGAAAAGCAGGCTTCTATAAACATTACAGTGTGTCCTCATCCACCTTATTCACTGGCTGTTGTACCATGTGACTTCTAGCTCTGCCCCAAAGTCAAAATGACTTTGAAAAGAAAATGTTTTAGGGTTCAGAAAATCCAGGAAGCAATGATACCATAATTAAAGACACTCATGAATAAGGGCTTCTGAAACTGCTTCAGGAAGTATCAAGAATGGTGAGCTATGCATGTTTGAAGTAAAGGGAAGTATTCTGAGGAGAATTAATAGCAATGAGTCTTCTGTAATTTTTAAAAATTTAAATGCAGTCTGTATTTTTTGTTCATACCTTTTAGCTCCGTGTGAAGGCCCTGGTTTCAATCCCCAGTACTGGAACAAAAAAATGGAGTAGTTTAGCTGGATCAAAACTTGTTTAAAATGTATGATCATATATAACATAGATTATGTTGTTTGAAATACTACACATAATTGAATATATTGATAATTCTTTTAGATATTTGAGGATAAACATTTTGTGATTCCTAATATTTTTCAAAGCAACTATTATGTTCCCATAACTGCTTGTTATTTGACCACTTTCCAGTTGCCTTCCTCTGGATTTAGATGTGATTCTGTTATCCTATTTATGTCCTTGTGTTAAAGTGTCAGTGTCACTCTATTATTTGTAGTTTTTAATTTGGCACATAAATATAGATCATGAGCTTAATTGTGAAGAAAAGGAAATACTTTGAATGTTATGTGGAACACGAGTTCTGTTTGAGTTTGGAGGCAATATAATATTTCATACTGTTTGTATGCAGTTCAAAATGAACATCAGTTTTTGATGGCAGTAAAGTAAAAGGACAATCTGATAAAATGGCAGACAAATTATAGACATCTCACTTCATGGGATATTTGAAATATGTATAGTTCTATTTATAGATAACAGCCTAGAAGCCAGGTAGCGCAGTTGAAAAAGAATAATATCCATAAAAAATTCTTTCCATTTTTATAGGTTCAGAAGGTGTTGAGGAAATCAAAAGACATCTTTTTTTTGCAAATATTGACTGGAATGTAAGTTAAATAGAAAGTTTATAAATAAATCACTATATAAAAATGAGCAAAATACTTGAGTAAATGGTGATCTATGAGCTTTGCTGATAAACTTAATCTGTTTTGTATTTACTATGAGATCTTTATACATACTGCATATCGTGGCAATTATCTTGAAGCAGTAGAGATGTGGGTAATATTTAGCAAATTTATGTTCATTCCATTTACATGTTATATATGGTTAATATGTCCATGTTTTAGATTGGGGAATGTGAGATAGGAAGAGAATGAGGCTGAAGCATATAATAGATTCTTACAAGAAATGAATTATAAGGAATCTAAAGTGTTATTTAATTTCAGTTTGTTCATTGTCATTTGTTAAAACACATTGAATTTTTTAAGATGTATTTTGCTACAGATTTCATTAAATTTTGAGAGGCTATGAAAGCAGAACCATTGAGAAAGTTTGCTAATGCATGTATAGATACTTTTTAAAAGTTGCTATTCTCAGACTTTTAAGGTTTTCTTAGAAGAGCAAACTTTTTGTTTTATAATATAGCTTTGTCTATTTTATGTATTAATCATCATAGTTAAATTTTTATCTGGTTTTGATACTGGCATTAAAAATGTTTTAAAAGGAAAAGCATGTCTCTCTTACTTTTTAGGGCAGAGGTAGGAAGCTCTGACTAAATCATTATTTTATCTGGCTTGTAGAAAAAAAGTTTCAGTAGGCAACATTTTAATGTATTTTATATAATTGTAAAAACATAATGTATCATAAGCCATTTGTATTAATACCCAGAAAGACCATTCAGTAGGTATGCTGCATGGGAGCTGACTCTTTCATAACAATGAGAATCTTTCCTTTGGTTTCCTTTTATCCCCTTTTCTTTATTTTCACAGTGATTCTCTACTCTTCTTATCTAGAAAAAGAGAAAATATTTTCCCCCATTATTGTTATATCTTAAACAGTGTATGCATATTTACTTTTTGAAAATTAGATTTATTTTTGCTATCACATAAAAGCATAAAATGATGCATATTTATGGGGTTCTATGTGATGTTTCAATACATGAATACATATTATGCCTAAATTAGAGTAAGCATATAAGTCTCCTCAAATATTTGTCATTTATTTATAGTGTAAACTTTCAAAAACTTTTGTTATAGCCTTTTCAAATGTACAGTACATTATTGATAGCGATAATCACCCTAATATACAATAGAATGCCACACCTTTTGACTTCTACCTAACAATAATTTAGTGGCCATTGATCAACCTTTCCTCATCTCTCCATCCTTCTGTCACTGATTTTTAATTTAAATAAATAAATGGAAGTTTATGTATGTAAGTAAATGGAGATTCCTTTAGAGTGAATCCCTATCAGTTTTTTTCACTGTGGAACTGTGAGCTAAAGTCAGAAAAAATAGGTGGTTTTCATATATTTTTTATCTTTTTAAATTTATTTTAACTGATATATAAAAAATTGTACGTTTATGAGGTTGTGTTTTAATACATGTAAATGTGTGTCATGTTTGAATCAGATTAAACATATCTATATTCTGAAACATTTGTCATTTCTTAGTATTGAAAACTCAAAATAATTTTTTAGCTTTTTGAGATTTACAATATATTATAATTATATATAGTCACCTTATCATATGGTGGCAAATTAGGACATTTTACTCTTAAGGAAAGGAAGTACACATTGATCTACTTCACCTAGTCCTTACCTTCCTCTCCTTTCCCCAGCCTTTGATAGTCACTATTATACTCTCAACTTCTGTGAGGCCAACTTTGTTAGCAGGTACATAAGTGCAATCCTACTTGTTTTTGTCTGTGTGTGTGCTTATGTGTTTGCATGGTGTTTTTCCCTTAATATAATGATCTCCAGTTCCATAGGTATTTTTAAAAATGATGGAATTTCATTCTTTGCTTAAGGTTAAACAGTATTTCACTGTATATATATGCCATATATTCTTTACCAGTTTATCAGTTGATGACCTCATGCTTTGCCATTTTGTTCAAGATGGCTTTGGCTATTTGTTTTTTTTTTTTTTTTCTGTAGTTACATTTTGATTTTAGGACTTTTATTATAATTCTTTGAAGAATGTCAATGGCATTTTCATGAGGGTTTCAGTGAATTTTTTTATCACTTTGGGTACTATTCTAGTCAGATTCTCATTGCCGAAATCAAACACCCAACACCCACAACCTAAAGGAGGAAAACAGTTTATTTGACTCATGGTTTCAGAGGCTTCAGTCATAGTCAGCTGGCTCTAAAGCAGAAATATCATGGTAGAGGGCATGGTAGAACAAAGCTGTTCAGTTCATGATGGTAAGAAAGCAGAGAGGGGAATACAGCCAGAGAGGAAAGAATGAGGGACCAGATTTTGACCCCAAGGCCATGTCTATGACCTCATACACACACAGAATGATGGCATACTAGTACCCCATGGGGATCCCAAGCTGATCAAGTTGACAATCCACTTTAACTCTCACATCCTAACTTTTGTCAACTTGATATCCAAGCACATTTCGCTAGACAATACTTAATCCCCAAATAAATGAATGCAAAGTCATAACTCCACCTAACAAGACAACTAGGCTGCATATAACTGAAATACAGTAATCCTTCTCTCAAAGTCTGAACAACCCAGCATTGCTAAGAAGTCCAAGTCAATGTCTCTTCTAAGACTCAAGGTATAATCTTTGCTGTGATGCCCTATAAAATTAAAAATAAGTTACAGAATCATAATTAAGTTACATAATTACAATGTACAATGCTATAGGGTAAACTTTATGTTCCAAAAGGGAGGAATGGGGAATAGAAAACAGTAGGAGTAAAACAAGACTGAAAACCATCAGAAAAAACATTAAGTCATGTAGCACCATGTCCAGCATCTGGGGTACATGGTGCTGAGATTTGAGTTCCAGAGGGCTTGTGCAGCCATACCTGTTTGTGTGGGCCTTGCCAGTTAAAGCCCACGTGGCCTCTCACTTGGGCTGGCTTTGTTCACAGCTTGTAGCTGTCCTCTGCAGCTATTCCATATTCTTGGCATCTCCAGCTTCCTGGGGTCTCCACTATACTTTCAGGCTTATTCTCATAGCTTCACACACTGCCATCTCAGAGGCTCCTTGCCTGGCTCTCCTCCCAGAAAATACCTCCATTGAAATCTAGGTGAAAGCCTCCCTGACCCTACAACTCTTATATTCTGCATTCCATTAAACCAGCATCCCATGGACAACACTGAGGTCAATTGTCAGTGAAAGCAGTAGCCACGAAGGACCTCTTCAACCATTGTTTCAATGGCCTATGAGTACCAGAATGCCTGAGCACAGTGAAATGTAACTTGGGGAATCAATTCACTAGGATGCACTTATTGAGTAGGTATCCCAGGAACTATCTCCTCAAAAGAAAGGTTAACACTTTTGCACCCTTGAGCCTGAAAGGGGGGAAATCTTACTGATTTCTGAGACGCTGTCAGGTCATTTTTCTTCTTGTCCCTGAACGGAGTATTTGGTTTCTTCTTAATGCTAATATCTTCAGCAACCAGTTTTATAAGTTGTTCTATTGGGGTCAAAATGTAAATTTTGCAAACTTTTCTTCTCTGCTTTTTGTTTTCAGTTTTCACTATAAATGTGGCTAAAAGCAGCCAGAGATACCCATGCCTGAATGTTGGGATGGCTTGAACCTTCTTCTACTAGATTAACTTATCGACAGCCTTTAAACTGAGCCTCTTGCAAAGTCTCCAGACAGGATTTTTTGCCAGAGTGTATCAAGCATTGCCTCTAGCCTATCTCCCAAAATAATCCTCATTCCCAGCTGCAACCTCATGAGCCTGGCCTTACTTTCTGAATTCCTGTCAGTATTCCAGTCTTCTGGGCTTTGGCTGGAATTGCCTCTCTAGGTCTTCTTACAGACTTTTAGGCCTTTTGCAGCCTGATTATCCAAACTTCCAAGCTCTTTCTGTAAACCAGTTCCAAATACTTTTTATTTGCATGGTCAGATACAATTACAGCAATGACTCCCACTCTCAGTAACAATTTTCTTTTTCTGCTGCTAGAACCAAATACTCAACATTCACTACTTAAAGGAGGAAATTGTTTATTTAGTTCATGGTTTCAGAGGAATCAACTCATGGTTGGCTGGCTCCAAAGGCAGAAACATGGCAAAAGGGCATGGCAGAGCACAGCTGCTCAGTTTATGGTGATTGGAAAGTAGAGCAGGGGATCCGATATAGGCTCCAAGCTTATGCCTGTATGACCCACACAGATATACCCAGAAGTGTGCTTTATTACTGTCTTGGAAGATACACAATCAAGTTAACAGTACAAATTTACCATCTCAGGTAGTATGGACATTTTAACATTATTGGTTCTTCTGATTAATGAACAGGGTATAATTTTTCATTTTTGTGGCCTTCTCAATTTATTTCATCAGTGTTTTATAATTGTCATTGTGGAAATCTTTCACCTGCTCAGTTAAATGTTTTCCTATGTATTTTATTTTTTGTAGCTATTGTGTGTATAACTATATTCTTGATTTCTGTTTCAGATAATTTGATATTGGCATATAGTTACATTACTGAATTTTATACGTTCCTTTTATATCCTGTAAATTTGCCGAATTTATTTATTTATTTATTAGTCCCAGTGGCTTTTTGGTGGAACCATTGCGGTTTTCTATATATAAGTTCATGTCATCTGCAAATGTGACTATTGGACTTCTTTTCAATTTCAGTGCCCCTTTTTTCTTTGTTTGATTGCTCTGACTAGGACTTCTAACTTTATGTTAAATGAAAATAATGAAAATGGGCATCCTCTTCTTCCCAGATCTTAGATAGAAAGCTTTCAATTTCCCCCCATTCAATGTAAAGATAACTGTGGAATTACTACAAATAGCCTTTATTACATTGTAGTACAATCCTATAACTGATTTGCTCGGTGTTTTTATCATGAAGTGATGTTGAATTTTATCACATATTTTTTTCTGTATCTGTTAGGATAATTGTGGTTCTTGTCCATTCTGTTGTTGTGGGTGGTACGTGTATTGATTTTTCTATTTTGAACCATCCTTATATCCCTTGAATGAACCTCCTATGATCATGATGAGTAATCTTTTTAGTGTGCTATTGAATTCCATTTGATAGTATTTTATTGAGGATTTTCACTCTGTGTTCATCAATGATGTTGACTTGTCATTTCCATGTTTTGTATTTTTCCTTATCTGGTTTTGGTATCAGGGTAATTCTGTCCTTATAGAATATGTTAGAAAGAATTTCTTCTTCTTTTAGCTTTTAGAATAACTTAAGGAGAATTTGTATTAATTCTGCTTTAAATACTTGATAGAACTCAGAAATGAAGCTGTCTGGTCCAGGACTTTTCTTTGACAGGAGACTTTTTATTATTGATTCAATTTCATTTCATTTCTTATTATTCGGAAGCCAACCCACAGCTGCTCAGAGTCCTTGATTCAGTTGGACTCTCTCTAAAATGGCATCTGGCCAAGCACCCTCTCCAGGGGACATGGTAGATACTTGGACTGGAGTCACTAGCTGTTGTAGTAAACAGTATGCACTGCTTCCTTCCACTAGTGTGTTACTCCCTGGAGGCCACTGGAGTCACCCGCCATCACTGTGTCTCTGTAGATTCTAACCCCCTCTCTCATGCTACAAACTGGGAGTCAGGCAGAAAGTGCAATTTCCCACCTCCTTTTTCCATGTTGAGTTCTATCTCTTCACTTTTCTCCAATTTTTCCTTCAGATGCTTCCTGGGTCACAGAGATCCACATCCCTCCTTTTCTTCCCCAAGTTATATTCTAGTGTCTGGATTCTGAATCTTGGAGAGGCTGATTTCCTGATGTTTAACACTCTGTCATCTTCCCAGAATTCCTCTCTGAAATATTTTATTCATGCTTTCACCTTTAGTTTGTGTCTGTCATTAATAGTAAGGTGACTTAGTTGTGAGCAACATAGAGCTTTCCTTCTTACTATTTCAGTGCATCTTTTTATTTTACTATAATTTAAAGCAGACACTGATTCTCACCTGATTTCCTTAGCTCTTTGAAGGTACAGTGGCACCTTGGTTCATGAACATAATTTGTTCTATGATTTTGGAAAAGAAGGCTATGTTTGTGTTTGTTTGGCAAGAGAGCTATGGTTGTGTTTGTCACTGGACCACAGAATTTGCAAACAAAACAAAAATTTTGCCAAGTGCTCCTGTTTGCAAACCAAATTGTTTGCAAATAAAAGTGTTCATGAACTGAGGTACTACTGTACTTTGGTGATTGAATCACTGTTCAGCTAGGGATAGTTCATTTGTGGGAAGACATTACTAGAGAATCTTAGCCAAAATCTCACTACACCTATGTATGTTTAAATACACAAATTGTAACAAGTTACATTTTTAGACAAAACTAAATTTTTCAGTTCTATGATATAAGCACTAAATAGTACATTTAGTATATATTTCATGCATAGACATTTAAATAAAATATGTATTCATGAAAATAATCTAATTATTGATTTTTTAGCACCTTGAATATTAGTAGTTATTTCTTCATCATGATATTGTGTTATACCAGTGAGAACACAAGTCAGTTGTTGATGCCTAAAATTGAACATGTTTATTACTTTGCAATGCACTTTTTGGCTTCACTATTGTGTTTCCTGGCCTCAATAGGTCTTGGACGTTTGTCTTTTTATATTTTTGGAATTTGATTAACAGGTATCTGAACCCCATGGAAATTTCTTTTATATACTGTAAGATCTCTGTTAAAGAATCTGAATGTTATGTTTTACTTTCCTTTACTAAGTACAGGTTAAATAGCTCTTATCCAAAATGCTTTGGACCTGAGATGTTTTGGATTTAAATTTTGGAATATTTCCATATACATGAGATATCTTGTAGATGGGAGCCATATCTAAACACAAAATCCATCTATGTTTAAAATACACCTTATACATATCACGTAAAAGTAACTTTATGCAGTATTTTTAGTGTCACATGAGGTCAGGTGTAGGATTTTCCACTTCTCTTGTCATGTTGACATTCAAAAAGTTTTGGATTTTGGTTTGGTATGATGGTGCAGGCCTGTAGTCCTAGCCAGTAGAGAGGCTGAAGTGGGAGAATTCATGTTTGATGACCACTTGGGCAACTTACTGAGACCCTGTCCCCAAATGAAAATTGAAAAATAAGTGAAGCTGGATATGTAGCTCATTGATAAAATGCTTACCTAGTGTATGCAAGGCCCTGGGTTCAATCCCCAGTACTGAAAAAAAATGTGGAGAGTGGATTTGGAGCATTTTGAAATACAGATTTTTGATATAGGGATGCTCAACCTGTATAATAATATTTTAATGTGTTGAATATTTTTATATTTCCCTGTTACTTTGTGTAGAAATTATATAAAAGAGAAGTTCAGCCTCCATTCAAGCCTGCTTCTGGAAAACCAGATGACACTTTTTGTTTTGACCCTGAATTTACTGCAAAAACACCCAAAGGTAATGTGAGGCTTTTATTCTAGTAATAATTTAATTAGTTTAATTAAATAATTAAATAGTTAAAAACTTAAAGGAATTATGAGTTTACAGAGAGTTGGTTTGCCCTTTCTGGAACTGTGCATCCTGTATAAAACATTTTTGGGGTTCTTGAATCTTAAATGGGGAGTATTTATAGAAAAACATGGACAACAGCAAAGAGTAATAGGGGTTTTTATTTGTTTTATAAGTCTTTTGATATGCTCATTACTTACAGAGTAGTGGGTAAGAGATAAGATGTGTTATAGTATCCTGTCTCTTTGTTAAGAATTTATTGACAACTGTTTCATATATTTTTTCAACAAATATCAAATGCCTACTAGGTACTAAGCAATGAGGATGCAGTAGTTAATAAAGCAAACATATTGTGTATATATACTGGGAGTGGGAGATAGCTAATATACTATAAATCAAATAAATATATTTGATAGATGATGTCATGGAATGCTTTCCTTTACATTTAAATAACTGTTGAGATTTTCTGTTATAGAACTGTATATAATTCTAATTAAATATAATTATTTGAAAATTAGATTCCCCTGGTTTGCCAGCCAGTGCAAATGCTCATCAGCTCTTCAAAGGATTCAGCTTTGTTGCAACTTCTATTGCAAATGAATATAAAATCACTCCAATCACAAGTACAAATGTATTACCAATAGTTCAGGTAAATTCTACTTATTCATGTTACTCAGGGCATATATCAGTTTGGAGATAATTCTTTCAGTCATTGATAATGAATTTTCAATAGTTTTTTATGAATGATTTTAACTACTTTATCTCTGAAGATAACTATGTGTTAAAGGTGCTTCTATATATTTTGGGGAAAAAGGACAGTAATAATCTTTATATTTATGTGGTCTGCTTTGGCAAAACGTTAGAGGGATTTATAAACCTGTTGATTTATAATGTTAACGTTGGGAACCTAGGAGGCCTACAGTTTGTTTAGAATTGGTTCAAAATTTGCATAAGTACTCTACAAATACTGGCAAAACTTCTGTAGGATAGTTATTCTTGATTTTTTAAAATATTTAACATGAGTGTATATTTAGGACAAAACATAGAAAATGTGAAAATGTATCATTCTCTTTAAAGTTTCACTTTTAAAAAAAAAACAGGTCAATGGAAATGCTGCGCAATTTGGTGAAGTATATGAATTGAAAGAGGATATTGGTGTTGGCTCTTATTCTGTTTGCAAGCGATGCATCCATACATCTACCAACATGGAATTTGCAGTGAAGGTATTGTCTCTGAACATAACTTGTTTGATGTATGCAATTTAAATTACTGGTCCAATGGACATTTTCAGTGGGACAAGTGAAAAAAGAAAGTACGATGAGAATAAAGACTGACACTTAATATTTTCATTGGATTTGTTTGGAAGGCTTCATTTCAGAGGAACAGTATATTTCATGAAGTTTTGCTTTTGAAGAGCTTTACTTTAATGTAATACTGTATGCTAAAAATTGAGTAATTGTGGCAATCATAGTCATATTTGGAACATATTGTCATTTAGTATATTTGCAATGAAACTGAATATAATCTTAAACTGTGCTTTCTTTTTACTGTTAAGTTTCAGCTGTTGGAAATATTTATTTATTTGTTTATTTATTTATCTTAGTACATGTTTGACACACATAATAATCACATTCATCCTAAGGAATTTGTACCTGTACATAATATATCTTAATTGTTGTTTTTGTTCCATTCCCCTCCCCTCCAGTCAACCCTTCTTCCCTTCCCTATTTACAAAAGCATTGTTTCTGTTTTTTCTCTTCCATTCTCTTTTTTAAAAAAATCCTTTTCCCTTCCTTGCCTTCCCCCTCCCTTGTTTCCTTTCCCATTTTAACATGTTTTTCCTACTTCCAGGTATTGACATTTTTAAATGTTAAAGTAATGGGGTGAACATTCTTCTAGAATTTTTAGGAATTTGTTTAAAAATATGAAATTGAAAAATATTTCATTTTCAGACAAAAAATGTTTTTCTCTGAGATTTTTCTGTCTAATTCTTAGATCATTGACAAAAGTAAGAGAGATCCCTCAGAAGAAATTGAAATCTTGATGCGCTATGGACAGCACCCCAACATTATTACTTTAAAGGATGTAGGTATTTTAAAATCTACTTCTCAGCTAAGTTAATGAAGTTATAACTTGGAATTTTATATATGTTGTATTGTTTTTATGCCACAAAATCTCAAGATGCTTAAATTTGCCACTTTCTCTTTTCCTATATGCCTGCTCTTATAAAATATCAAAAAATGACTGATGGTAAATGAGAATCCTGATTACACGAACATATTCTTGCCTTTTACCTACTAACAGTATAACTAGTTCATTTATCATTCTGTAATACTATACAAGAAAAGGAGTATCTGTCAAGTTCTTGATTGTATAGCAATTGGCTGTATCTTTATGGATTGTTCCTTCCGTAAAATAGTATTAATCTATAATTTTATGAAATGAACATAAAACCCATATATTAATAGATATTACTGAATGAAGACTTTTCCCATAGAAGGTAATGTTCTTTTCTTTTTAGAAAAGGCAGAAAAATGAACCAGTTTGTGTTAGATAATCTGGTATGCACTTGGTTTGTAATCTTTAAAGAGTCCTGATACCATGGGATAGATCCAACAGATAGATTCCCAGGCTCTTACGTACAGTAAGTAAAGAATTGCAGGTGTACAGCCAATGGTGAAAGTAAAGCAGCTACATTTATTGAAGATCATGTGAAGAATTGCTCAGGGCATGTCTGTGCTGAGAAAAATGTGGCATGAAAATTAAAATAGTGCCAGGATGACAGGGAAATAAAAAGCAAATATAACCAGATAAATCAGGCTTTTGGAATTTTTTTAGGAGGAGCCCTTAGCCCAGGTGCCTCTCACTGGGTCTCTAGGTAAGATTGACAGGAATGATTAACAGAATGCTAAGTGATCCTGAGCCTGGGGCTTTCCACAAGTACGTATGTTCCAAGGTTCACTCTGATTAAGTTACAGGTAACAATGGAAGGATTGGCCCTGGGATGTTGCCCAAACTCAAGAGAATGGAAGGAAGTGTTCTCCCAGCCCCCTTGTTTTACCTATACTATTTCCCTCTGAGGGACCTGGTCCCCCCAAATCTTTAAGGGGTGCTGAAGGATTAAGGTCTATCTTCCATGGCTACTTCCTGCTGAATAGAGGCACTGGCCCTACCTATGTGGGGACCAACGAACTCTGCCCTATAGGATCTAAGAGTTCAAAGTAACTGTGTTCCTCCTCTGAGGCTTTCTTGATGAGCTGTGACTGTAGAGATGGGTTTTGATATTGGGCCTGGGCCATCACCAGTAATTTAATGGCTATCAAGCAAGAAGAAACAAATTTGATTAAGAGGTTAAGTATGTAAGAGCTAAATAGTCAGGTTACAAGAAGCATTACTAAAGGCCATGTCTAGGACAGTAACTAAGACTCTCAGTTCCTGATATTTAGCCAAGACATCCATGACACAGATAGTTCCTTGCAAATCTTGTAAGTGTGGTTGACAAACTTCTGTACTGTATCTCACTATTTCAAACTGATTGACATAGGAACTACATTCTTTTAAAGACAAACATAACCCCTCTGTTTCAGCATTTAGGAGATCTAGTCCCCTAACATGTATGGCCACTACTGGCAGTGGATCTATTTGGTCTCAAAGGATGGCAATATTTTGGGCAAGTTCACCTAGTCCAGACAAAACTTTTACAGCATTCAATGATACAAATAGCCCGTTGTGACCTGTGTGCCATAGGTTCACCACCCCTGATCTAGGCTGTCTGTCAAGTTCTTAGGTAGCTGTTGATGACAGAAGAAAGATATAATTAGCTTTAAGGTTTTGTATAAGTAATCATTATTTATTATCTCTGTAAGAGGCATTTTGAATCATCCAGGAGAATCTCAAGAGAAACAAGAAAGCCAAAAGAAGTCAATAAAGAGGTCAATTATAATTTGGGACAAAGATATCAGTGTGGCAAACAGAGTAGCAAGACTAGCCACACAATTACTTAGAGGGAACAAAATGTTTCACTTATCTAGCTCAACAGGTTGGTTGGTATTTTCTTTTCTGAGTAGAAACTTGACGTCATCCACTGGTTCATAGATGTATGAAGTGTGTAGTCTCTCTTCTTTATTTTTTGGTGTTGCATATGGCTTGGATTTTACCTTGGAGGGTTGAAAATAAATGTCTCTTCCCTGTATCTCAATGACAGAAGGAGTGGTAAGAAGCATTGTGTAAGGGCCTTTCCATTTAAAAGCAAACAAGTTTGGGGAGTTAGTATCCACAGGGATAGAAAAGAAGGCATCTTTGTGCAAGGTCCTGAGTTTGATCTCCGTTACAAAAAAAAAGAAGGCATCTTCAAGATCAAGGACAGAGAACCATTTGGTATCTTTTGGGATGTGTGCTAAAAGGGTGTATGGGTCTGCTACTAATGGATAAATAGGTACAACTGCCTCACTGATGGCTCTGACATCTTGTACTAGGTGATATTCTCCCAATGACTTAACTATTGGTAAAATGGATGTATTACATGGGGACTGGCATGGGACCAGTAACCCTGAGGTCCAAAATTTATCAATTATGGGCTTTATCCCCTGTCTAACTTCTGTCTTAAGGTAATACTGGCTTCAGTGATTTTATAGGTTCCGGTTCTTTAGCAGCATTCAGCTACTGGGGTGGTTTTCACAGCTTGCCTTGGGATGCCATCATACCATGCTTGGGGATCAACTCTAGGCAGAGACATCAGGATTAGGCTGGTTGGGTCACTAGCAATTAGGACACAAGTTGCCAGAGGTTTGAATATCAGAGTCACCCCAAATAGGAAGAGTATATCTCTTCTAGTTACTGTTTTGGGGCACTCTGGTATCACCATAAAGGTAACTTGAAAAAAGAAGTCTTCCAACTGGCAGTCCAGAGTGGGAGTAAAGAAAGCTGTCTGGCTAATTCCTTCAAGGCCTACAACTTTGGAATGGGATGAAAGCATATCCCAATTAGAACGTAGAACTGAATAAGACACCTCAGTATCTCTGAGAAACATAATTTTTTCCCACTACTTCTAGAATTACTTGAGGTTCCTATAAGGTGATGGGAATACACTTGTGTGGGAGCCACACGGGGTACCTGGGGCACTATCATTCACTGAATATTCTTCCCTGGCCACCAGGGGTGGATGACCTCATCCTTCTCTGGGAACAAGGGAAGTCCCTCCTCCAGTGCCAAGGTTTTTTTTTTTGGTACCAGGGATCAAACTCTGGTCCTTGCGCTTGCAAAGCAGGTGGCGGGACCACTGAGCTAAATTCCTGGCCTAGGAAGATTCTTATTCCATGTTCTGACAGGCCTGACAAGGGTTTGGTGGCTTTAGAGGCACTCCTTTGCCAAGTGTCCCACTCACTTCCACTTGAAGTACCCTGACTTGCTTCTATCACTCTTTGGATTATCTTGGTTTCCCTTAGTGCTGTGGGCTTTATCCTGAGCCTTATTTACTAGGGCAAGCTTGACTTTAGCCTGGCTCTTTTCTTTATTCAACTCTTGTTTGTCCTCTACTTCATCACAGTTATTAAAGACCAAATAAGGCACATCCACTAATTGAATTATACCTGCTTGTGGGCCCTGTTGGAGTTTCTTGAGCTTTCTTCTAATTTCTGGAGCCGACTGACTAATACATTATTGTCCTAGGATAATCCGACCTTTCCTATACTCTGGGTCTAAATTAGTTTACAGAGTGCCTCTTCAAGTAAGAATTGAAAAGCAACTGGATTTTCATCAGAGCCTTGACTGATAGACTTAAGCTTATTGTATTTCACAGGTTTGGGCATCCCTTGACACACACCTGCTAAAATGGCCAGGATGTATAACTTTCATTTGGCTTTCCCACTTATCTATTATAATCCCACTCAGGCCCCTCTTATGGTACAAACAATGGAGCAGTTGGCTGATTATCAGTGGGTGAAGCTTTGAAGGCTTGATCATTAGCCAGCTTTAGAGATTTTATAATCCTTTTTTCTTTCTACTGGTGTCCAGCAAGAAAGCAGGATGAAATTGATGTCTCACCAGGTCAAATCAAAAGGTTATGGAAACCATCAGCAAACTTTTCCGAATCCTCAGAAAGTCTGCCCAGTTTTTCCTTGCTTTGCTGAATATCCATAACTGAAAAAGGGATGTGCACCTAGATGATACACTTGTTCCCTGCCGCTTCTCTAAGGGGCAGAGCATTGATGGGCTTAATTGTTGAGTTCCTGAATGTGGAGCCTTATAGTAGGCAAACCCAGATCTGGTGTGGGGCAAGTGCAGGAGATGGCCTTTATCTCCTAGTAGTACTGACTGAGCAGGTTGTTGAGGAGTTGTAGCACAAGGGGAGGAGGAGCTGACAAGAGTCCCCAGTAGCATCAGCTCCTGAGGGGGATTAGTTCTAGGCAAAGATCAGGCCTGTGGTAAAGAGCCATAAAGGCTTGAAAATAAAGCACCCCTGACCATTTCCTCTGTTTCTTACAATAAATATGTAATTGAAATTTTGCATTTTATTTTAGGCTGCCAAAGTGTGGCCACATCACTTTTTCCTCATGTGGGCACATAGACCACTTTATATTAGGAATATAAGATGAATTTTGGGGGCCCTTGGGATGGAACTGTTCCCAGTGAGTAAGGAATCATCTGAACAGAGTCAAAAAGAATAGATGAGACATTTTCCATGATAGATCTCTTGATAGGAGGAAGAAAAATTTCATTGTGGGGTCCTAACAGGCCTATCCTTGGATCATTCCCAACCCATTAGTGTGGACATTACAGGGCATCTCCTCATAGTTCCTGAGCCTTTTACCTCCAGGGGATGTCCTGATGGGGCTGAAGTTGTGGGATTTGGTCAGATATTATTGAGCCTTCTCCTGGGTCAATTTCCACATACGAATCTTACAGGGTATCAGCTTTCAATGATACAAATAGTGCTCTGTGACATGCATGCCATAGGTTTGTCACCACAGCTCTAGGGCTATAACCTTGTCTAGCTCTCTTATTGGGCATCTCTTAGTAGAGCTGGCGTCCTTGGGGGCCAGAAGTATCAGGCCTTGTGTGGGTGATGGTTCTACTTTCTTTTATAGCAAAACATTTATTGGTACATTTTACGCATACATAATGGTAACACTCATCATTGGGAATTTGCACCTGTACATGGTACATCCCACCATTTTTCCCATTCTCCCCTCCATTTTGTACACAGTGTTGTACAACTGTATTGAAATATAGCACAAACACATTGACTTTCACCTTGAAGAAATGTTTATCCCATTTAAATGAGTAGTTAAATCAAAAACTTGCAAACCTGATGAGGAATTTTTCATCTTCAAGTTCCTTGATTCCATAAATGATTGTATCATTTCACAATTCACAAAATCTTTTCAGCATTTTACTTCAACTTGGCCACCTCACTTCAAAAAAGTAAATGATTTCCCCATAATCAGCATCTTATGAAACTCTTATGAAACTCGTGGAATTGGTAATGATTCGATTCCTAGGACCTCATGAAATTCACAGCTGTGATAATGATTTGCATAACATCTTTTTGTTGTTGTTGTTGTTGTTTTGGTACTGGGGATCGAACTCAGGCAAGGCACCACTGAGCTAAATCCCCAGCTGAACTCACTAGTTCAACTCATGGCGATTCTCCTGCCTCAGCCTCCTGAGTACTGGGATTATAGGCATGCACCGCCATGCCTAGCTCACATAACATCCATTTTTAAAGCCTGAATTTCCTTGATGTATGATGCAGCACTATTTTATTAAACGCGAGACTTGCCAGCAACAATTGCATCATCTCTTATTAATTTATAAATCCCTATTTTATTTTCTCTTTGAGACCAGGTTTCACTCTGTAGCCCAGGCTAACCTCAAACTTGCAGTGATCCTCCTGCCTCAGCCTCCTGAGTGCTGGGATTATAGGTGTGTGCCACCACATACAGTTTAAATCATTCTTCTTTACCAACCATCACAGGGCACCACTATGGATACACCAGATATGTTGACAAAGTTTGAAGAAAATCACTGTTATTTTTACTGCCTCATACAGATGAAGAGATTTACCTGTATTTTAATGGCATCAAAGAAGCCATTTCTTCAGTGATACTATATTCATAATCTATAATACTGCTAATTAAAAACAGCAAGTTGAACCATATCTGTTACGTCAGCACTTTCATCTATTGCCAAAGAATAAAGTTTGAAATTAGTAGCTTCACTCTTAAATCTTTTTCAGTAGATTTTTCCCCATTTCCTCAACTGTCTGGCTATAGGCTGGTGAGACAAATTGATTTAGAAAAATTAAGCAGGGTGCCTTATTTCTCTCAACAAAAAAGCACTCATCCATTTTTCACTGAAGACTTCCTTCTTCCATTTTTCTTTTTGGGGGTTCTGCTTTCTTTTGAAATGATGATGAAACCATTCTGGACTCGGAGTCTTCCAGTCTCCGTGTGCGCCCGCCTCACCCCGAGGTCTCTGGTGGCCCTCAGAGTCTCTGGGTGACTGAAGCTCAGCCAGTCAAGGTTTGTTTACCGTCACCATGGAAACCACGGCAGGGTGTATGGGGTTGGACGTCTATAGTCACTCCTGGCACTTCCGGCCCGGGCACCTGGAACAGCAACCCGGTAGCCCCCCCTTACCTACCGTCATTGCCGGCGTGACCACGGGTGGCCCCCTCCGAATCCCACCTTCCTCTGGACCAAGCCACGGAACAGCAGTTCTACTTTCTTTTTTTCTTTTTCTTTTCTTTTTTTTTTTCTGCGGTACCGGGGATGGAACTCAGGACCTTGCGCTTGTAAGGCAGGTGTGGCACCACTGAGCTAAATCCCCGGCCCGGTTCCACTCATCTTCTGGACAGAGTCCAGAACTGGGATGCCTTACTGGCCAGATGCCTCTTAGCCAATGAGCCCTTTAGCAGATGATATTCCACTAGCTGTCAGTAGATGGCATCTAAGAACAAGGAATAAGACAGCTCTAGGAAAACCCTCACCACGTCAGACAAACATGATTTATATTATCACAGCCAGCAGTCCACATGGGTCTTGGTTTTAAAACTTGTGCCCTTTTATAAGAACTTCATATCTTCTTAGTATCTTCCTCTGTTTCCAACTCGTGTGTATTTTGTTAGATCGTGCCACAAAAGATACCCATCAAGTGACAAAAGGAAAACTCCACAATGCAACAACCACACGTTATACATCCTTTTAGATACGGTTATAAACTTCAGGCCACATTTACTACAACAAAAGCAAAACCAAGCAGAATGGAGAAAGCAAACTAGCGTTATAGAAAGAACCCCAGGAGGAGATAGCCATACGTCAGCATTGGGACCCAGGAGAATATGGGCTGCTTCTGCAAGCTGTGCCTGCATGAAAACTACACCTTTTAAAATGACTACAAGCTTTTCTTTCCACTCTCCATTCTAGGCTAGTTTTCTACTTTTTAACCTTGCCCCCTTCAGTTGACCAGCATGAAAAAGGCAAAGTACTTGAATTCTCCAATAGATGAAAGACCACACACACACACACACACACACACAGGCACTAGAGTTCCCTCAAGAGATAGAAGGAATACAAAACACAGAAAAACACTCAGGTACTCACTCAGTGTGAGTCTACAGGCTCCCCTGGGCCTCACTAACTTTGGTGCTATTGAAGGGGCCACTTAAGTCCCCATGGTCCAGGGCATGCTGGTAGCTGTACCCATGCAAAGAATAACATTAGGCACACCAGGCCCACATTACCAAGTCCCCTGAGAAAAAAATTAAACCAGCCTAGGGAATTCTGTCAAGGCCAAGGTGTCCTAATGCCATTTCCATGGTACCCTTGAAAGCCATGAAACTTGCCAGCTGCCTCTATTCCCTCAGTTCAGGTCTATCTCTCTCCAAGCATGGGAAACCATGGTTACTTGAGAACCTCCATGCGGCAAGAACAAACAGCAAAATACAACCCCAACTGGTTGGCATGAGCTATCCTCCCCCCTGGGAAAAACCAAACCCTTTTGCTCCACATTCTGGTCATCTCCTACATCCATGTCCACAACAAGTACCCTTGGTTACTTATAAAAAAGAGGGAGAGGATCTTCCCAAGAGGGGAGTTTACCTTACTTTTTGGCTGGGCTTCATTTGGCTGCTGATGTCTGCCAGTGTCTCCTACACTTACCAGTTGATGCCATGAGATGGATCCAACAGTTAGATTTCCAGGCTTTTGTCTACAATGAGCAAATAATTGTAAGAGTACATGCAGTGATGAAAGAAAATACCAACATTTATTGACGATCATGGGAAGAAGTGCTTAAGGCATATTTGTGCTGAGAAAAACGTGACCTTCTGAGAGAAAAAAATGATGCTAGGATGACAGGGAAGTAAAAAGCACATAAACACTTTTGGGGTTTTTTAAAGGAGGAGACCCCAGCCCAGGTACCTCTCATTGGCTCTCTAGGCAAGACCGACAGGAATAATTTTCAGAGTGCTGAGTGATCCTGAGTCAGGGACTTTCAACAACTGCGTGTTCCAGGTTTCACTCTGCTTAAATTACAGGTAACTGGAAGGAGGATTGGCCCTGAGATGTTGCTCAAAGTCAAGTGGGTTGAGAGGAATGGTCTCCTAGCCCCCATTGTCCTACCTGTACTAGTAGAGTGTGTGTGTGTGTGTGTGTGTGTGTGTGTGTGTGTATACAAATATACATGGCCTGAGTAAATATTTTTTTATTTATTATTTTTGATTCACAATTTCAATTCAACATGTCAGATTATGGACTGAGAAATAATATGTTTAGTAACAGAAAGAAGCTTATTCTTAGGGAAGAAAAATAACTTTTATACAATCAAAATGAGATATCATTTGAAAGACACAGAATTTTTAATTTATATTTTAATGAACTATAACTTACAAGCTCAGAACTCAAAAAATTAAATATTTAATATGATATGATATGAGTGTATAGAAAGTTGTTTAGCTGATTCAACCCTTAATACAGTATGTACCATATTAACTACAAATAAATAATGACCTTTTTAATACTAGCAGTTCACTGTCAAGGCAGAATAAATACAATTTTAAAAGTTTAGAATTGTAATTATAACATTAATATAACAGATAATAACATTATTAATACATTCTTTTTTAGGTCTTTGATGATGGTAGATATGTTTACCTTGTTACGGATTTGATGAAAGGAGGAGAGCTACTGGACCGTATTCTCAAACAAAAATGTTTCTCAGAACAGGAGGCTAGTGATGTACTCTTTGTAATAACACAAACAGTTGACTATCTGCATTGCCAAGGTGTAAGTTATATTCTTTGCTTCAGCTATGGGAATAATGTGTTCATGAAATTATATATAGGAGATGATACCATGCAAAGGGAATTTCTTTTTCCCTCATTTGTATGTTTATATAGATAACATCCTAATGAAATTCATGAAAAAATGAAGGTTATAGATTAAGAAATTAGCTAATAATTTATTAAGTCTATTCTAACTGTTCACTGGCCTTGACTTAATAGCACATTCATTTTGAAAATGGTTTAAACTACATAATTGTACCTAACGTTGCCTTTTAAATTATTTTTTTAACTGTATATCCTTTTATTGGTACATTTTAGGTATACAATATAATGACATTCATCATTGGAAATGTGCACCTTTACATACTCTCCTGGTTCTTATTTTTTCCCCCTTCCCCTACCCTCCTTTCAACCCCTCCATCCCTCCCTATTTACAAAGACTTTGTTTCCTTTTTTAAATTTTCTCATATTAATTCCATTCCCTTCTTTCCTTTCCCCTATCCCTTCCACTTCCCCTTCACCTTTGCCCCTTTTCTTTCTATTTCACAGTATTTATTATACCTTTTAGTCCTTATTTATACTTTCAGTTTCTCACACTAGAGAAACTATTCGGTATTTACACACGTGCATACTATTTATTTCACTTAAGAGTATCTCATCAATGTACATCCATTTAGCAATAAATGTCTCTAATTTCTCATTTTTGATGGCTGAGTAGTACTCTATTTTATAAAAAGAACGCATTTTCTTTATCCAGTCTCCAGTTGATGGGCATTTGGGCTCTTTCCAAGTTTTAGCTATTACAAACTTGCTGCTATGAACATGGCTGCACATATATCACTATGGTATGATTATTTTAATTCTTTGGGGAATCTACCCAGCAGGGGAATAGCAGGGTCAAATGAGACTTCCAGTCCTAGTTCTTTCAGGCATCTCCATACTGATTTCCACTGTGGTTGCACCAGTCTACACTCCCAGCAGCAGTGGAGCAGGGTTCCTCTTTCCTCACAACCCTGCCAGCATTTATTATTGGTTGATTTCTTGAAAGCAGCCATTCTTTCTGGGGTGAGATGGAATCTCAGTGTTGTTTTCATTTGTATCTTTTGAATGACCAGTGATGTTGAACATTTTTTCATATGTTTATTTGCTATTTCTACTTCTTTGAGAGATGTCTGTTCATTTCAGATGCCCATTTTTGGATTGGGTCTTTAAATTTGGGAGGTCTGATTTTTGTAAGTTCTTTATAGATTTGAGATAGTAGACCTTTGTCTGAGGGACCGCTGGTGGAAATTTTTTCCCACATTGTGGGTTGTCTCTTCACACTGCTGGTGGTTTCTCTTGCTGGGCAGAAGCTTTTTAGTAAGAAGAGATCCCACTTGTTGATTGTTTTTGCTAGTTCACTGGCAACTGAGGTTTTGTTCATGACATCTTTTCCTACACCAATGTCTTCAAGAGTTCTATCTAACCTCTGTATTGCCTGATTCAGCGTTTCTGTTTTAATATTTAGATCTTTAATCCATTTCGATTTTAGTTGAGTGCATGGTGAGAGATATAGGTCTAGGTTTAGTCTTTGGCAAGTTGAAACCCAGTTTCTCCAGCACCATTTATTAAAGAGGCTATCTTTCCTCCAGTGAGGCTGTTTGACTCCTTTGTAAAAGATGAGGTGGCTGAGTGTGTCTGGAGTTGTTTCTGCATCTTCTAATATGCTCCACTGGTCCTCAGGTCTGTTTCTTTGCCAGTATCATGGTGTTTTTATCACAGTAGCTTTGTAGTATACTTTCAAGTTGGGGGTTGTAATACCCCCTGCCATGTCTCTGTTTCCTAGAATTGATTTTGCTATTCTGGGTCTCTTCTTGCCTTTTAAATTATTAAACCTAACAAACTTAAAATTGAAACCTAAAAGAATTAGCAAAGGACATATTTTTTATATTTTTGAAATGATGCTATACCAAGCACAGAAACTTCTAGCAGTAAGTGGACTATCTTGACTTTTATCAATTCCTTTTACAAATATACTAAAAACTTTGAATTCTATACATTTGAAATATTAATATGTCAAATTTTGTGATGGCTGCCAGGAATGGTAGCACATGCTTGTAATCCCAGCACTCAGAAGGCTGAGGCAGGAGGATTGCCTCAAGTTTGAGGCCTCCCTGGACAAGATAGTAAGTTCAATACCACCCTGGAATACATAGAGAGACTCTGTCTCAAAAAAATAAAAACAAAAAGAAAATTGTGGTGGAGGAGCCAGCTTATTGTTTTATAATTTCATGTCTCATCATAAAGAAGGCAAATGAATGTAGTTACACAGATGTCAACTTTTATTATATATAGCTATATAAGTCCTCAAAGTAGCAATTATTTACAAATTAAAGTTTGAATCAGTCATAAGAGTATATACAGTGGATCCTTGACTTACGAACTCCATTGGTTCCCTGAGGGCTGGTTGTAACTAAGTCAATACAGCTGAGATCTGAATGTTTACCTGGATATATACTATAGATAACAAGATGCATATGAATCTTCCATTAACCTAATTAACCCAAGTTGTTTGTATTTCAGGCCAGTCATAACTTGAGGGTCCACTGTATACATGTACCTTTTAACCATTAACAGTAAAAAAATGACTACTCAAAATTTACTGAAAATTATACATAGGTCACTTATGAATAACAAAAAGCAAACTGATGATCAATTTTATGTGTGGCTTCATAGAATACATTTTCTGTACTTTGAAATAAATTGCATTATACTAAAGGAAAAGAATAATTCTATTATATCATTCCTGAGCTGTCTTCAACAACACACTCTAAAGGTTGACCAGAATTTTGAAAACACTAAAGATCTTTTCATCGATTTATTATTTTATACACTTTCAGTTTTTTGCATCAAATATATTAATAACAGACACATATTGAGAACTTTTATATGCCAGGAATTGTAGAGTATTATAGATTTAAATATGAGTTACACTTGTTCCCTGTCCTTAGAGTTTTCAGTGTTGTAAACTGCCGATTAAATGTAGATTAACTGAAGTGGATAGTAGTAGCAAAAAGTCATCACATGAAGAATTTCAGAGTTTTTCAGTTTCTATATTTTGTTTGGTCCTTCTTCATTGTTCCTACTTTGCTAAGACTTCCCATTTTTTTGCTGAGAATTCATGGACTGAAAGCAGATTTTCTTTTATTTCATTGATATTAATTATAATAGGTAATTTAAAATCTTTGTCACTTTTAGTGTGGTTTATTTTATTCAGCATTGATTGATTTTCTTTTTTTCTTGAGACTGTGTTCTGTTTTCTTGGTTCTTGTATGTATATTGATAATAAATTATGGAGATATTTATATTCTGTTATTTTTTTTCTAATAGATATTATTTTCCTTGTATAAATGGATAATCTCCTTAGTTGGCATGGACTGAAAATTCTTGATTTTTGAACAGCAACTCTGATGTATTTATTTCTTTTCTCCTTATATGAACTGCTTTAATCTTCCACAGTATTTTGATTCAGGAGTCAGGTTGGCATTTACAGTATTCCTTTCCTTAGCATTCAGAATTACTCACCATCTATTTTCTGGTTCTTCAGGCCAGAAAGACTCTGGGTTTTACATGTGTCTTTATTACAATGGGCCGGCAGCACTGCCCTTAAATGGATAAAATATGTAGATGTACTATAGAAACCTACTTGTATAGCTTCTTGTATTTCCTCCTTAAACTAAATAAGTGTTACCCATCATTCTGTCTGCTTCTGTTCATCTTTCCTTAGGTAGTTGATTTTCGCATTATATTCAGATTTTATAATTATTTATTATGGATAAGGGAATGTTGGATAAGGTCTTAGTCAATTATGTCTAAAAGTAGAACTAAAAGTAGAAATTAACAATGGCGGCTTGAATAGAAAGTTGAACATTGTTTGATAGAGATGATTTTTAATTAGCACATATTATACAGATGAATAAATTTCATTTTGGCATATTTATAACATACATTGAAGATCATTTTCACCCCAATCTCACTTTCCTTTCTGTCTCCCTACTCCCTTATTCCTTTCTTGTTCTCTAATAATCTCCATCTTATGTTCATTTATTCTCTCTGCCTCTCTCCCTCATTCTCTCCTTCTCTCTACCTCTCTTTCCTTCTCCCTATTTCTTCCACCCACCCCCACAGATTTCTCATATGAGAGAAAACATATTTGACTTAATGAGTCTGGCCTATTTTGCTTAATATGATGATCTCCAGATTTATTCATTTTCTTGAAAATGATGTGATTTTGTTCTTTCTGGATGAATAATATTATGCTTTGTATATATACCAAATTTTTATATTTAAAAATTTGATATTTCTTTTATCATGAATTTTTTGTATTAACTGACATTAAAACTTCAAATTATCCTATAATAAATGTGCATATGTGTGGGATTAGCTTAGATTTACTTTATTTTATTATGGTGGATGTAAGTTATACAGATTAATGCATTAATGGATTTTATTTTAACAGATTTGTACATGTGTATAGCATACTTTGATTTCCACTCTCCTATTAAATCTCTTATCCCCCTGCATTCCTTACCTCTTCTCTAATAGTCCCCCTTCCACTTTCATATCATCTCTTTTATCTTTAGATTCCACATATGAGAGAAAACATATTTGTCTGGGTAGCTTATTTCGCTTCACATAATGATCTTTGTTGCATCCATCTTTGCACAAATGAAAGATATTTGATCTTCACTATGGCTGAGTAATACTGCTTTGTGTGTGTTAGCACATTTTGTCTATCCATTTATCCATCAAGTGGCAACTAGACTTGTTTCCAAAGCTCAAATATTGTGAATGTGCTATAAAAACATGGTTATGAAGGTATCTGTGGTAAGCTGACTTTATTTCCTTTGGATATATATATATATATATATATATATATATAATCTGGGAGTGAGACATCTGGATCATACAGTAGTTATATTTTTAGTTTTTGAGGAATATCAATACTGTTCTCCATAATAG